CCACACCCTCTCTAAAAGTTTCTCCTACTTTAGCATTCAGGTCCCCTACCACAATTACTCTCTCACTTGGTTCAAAGGCTCCTATACATTCACTTAACATCTCCCAAAATCTCTCTCTCTCCTCTACATTCCTCTCTTCTCCAGGTGCATACACGCTTATTATGACCCACTTTTCGCATCCAACCTTTACTTTAATCCACATAATTCTTGAATTTACACATTCATATTCTCTTTTCTCCTTCCATAACTGATCATTTAACATTACTGCTACCCCTTCCTTTGCTCTAACTCTCTCAGATACTCCAGATTTAATCCCATTTATTTCCCCCCACTGAAACTCCCCTACCCCCTTCAGCTTTGTTTCGCTTAGGGCCAGGACATCCAACTTCTTTTCATTCATAACATCAGCAATCATCTGTTTCTTGTCATCCGCACTACATCCACGCACATTTAAGCATCCCAGTTTTATAAAGTTTTTCTTCTCTTTTTTAGTAAATGTCTACAGGAGAAGGGGTTACTAGCCCATTGCTCCCGGCATTTTAGTCGCCTCATACGACACGCATGGCTTACGGAGGAAAGATTCTTTTCCACTTCCCCAGGGACAATAGAAGAAATAAAGAAGAACAAGAACTATTTAGAAAAAGGAGAAAAACCTAGATGTATGTATATATATATGCATGTGCGTGTCTGTGAAGTGTGACCAAAGTGTAAGTAGGAGTAGCAAGATATCCCTGTTATCTAGCGTGTTTATGAGACAGAAAAAGAAACCAGCAATCCTACCATCATGCAAAACAGTTACAGGTTTCTGTTTCACAGTCATCTGGCAGGACGGTAGTACTTCCCTGGGTGGTTGCTGTCTACCAACCTACTACCTGAAAAATATGTGCAGGAATTCAAGGAGTACATAGACAGTGAAGGACTGAAACCTGAACAAGTGTTTAATTGTGATGAAACAGGCCTGTTTTGGAAGAAAATGTCAAGCAGGACCTACATTACTCAGGAGGAAAAGGCACTCCCAGGACATACGCCTGTGAAAGACAGGCTTACTCTTCTCATGTGTTCCAATGCTAGTGGTGATTGCAAAGTGAAGCCTTTATTAGTGTATCACTCGGAAACTCTCAGAGCATTCAGGCAAAAGAATATCCTCAAGGCTAATTTGTGTGTGCTGTGGAGGGCAAACAGTAAGGCATGGGTCACTAGGGACTTTTTCTATGACTGGTTACACCAAGCATTCGCCCCCACTGTGAAAAATTACCTAATGAAAATAAATTAGACCTTAAGTGCCTCCTGGTGTTAGACAATGCCCCTGGTCATCCTACAGACTTGGCAGAGCGACTTTGCGGGGACATGAGCTTCATTGAGATCAAGTTTTTGCCTCCTAATACCACTCCTCTCCTGCAGCCCATGGACCAGCAGGTCATTTCAGACTTCAAAAAATTGTACACAAAAGCTCCGTTTGAAAGGTGCTTTGTAGTGACCTCAGAAACTCAGTTGACTCTAAGAGAGTTTTGGAGAGATCACTTTAATATCCTCAATTGTGTAAACCTTATAGGTAAGGCTTGGGAGGGAGTGACTAAGAGGACCTTGAACTCTGCTTGGAAGAAACTGTGGCCAGAATGTGTAGACAAAAGGGATTTTGAAGGATTTGAGGCTAATCCTGAGAGGTGTATGCCATTTGAGGAATCAATTGTGGCATTGGGGAAGTCCTTGGGGTTGGAGGTTAGTGGGGAGGATGTGGAAGAGTTGGAGGAGGAGGACAATGAAGAACTAACCACTGATGAGCTGCTAGATCAACTTCAACAGCAAGAGGCCAGACCTGAGGAAACTGCTTCGGAGGAGGGGAGAGAGAAATTGAAGAAGTTGCCTACTTCAAAGATTAAGGAAATCTGTGCAATGTCGCTTAAAGTGCAAACCTTTATGGATGAAAATCACCCTCAGACAGCTATTGCAAGCCATGCTGGTGACTATTACACTGACAATGTTGTGAAAAACTTTAGGAATGTCATAAAGGAATGAGAGGTACAGAACTCTATGGACAGATATGTTGTGCGACAGAAGTCCAGTGACTCTGAAGCTGGTCCTAGTGGCATTAAAAGAAGAAGGGAAGTAACCCCGGAAAAGGACTTGACACCTCAAGTCGTAATGAAAGGAGATTCCCCTTCTGAACACTAAGACCATCCATACTCTCCCCTCCTCCCATCCCATCAGTCATCACCAGATCTTCAATGAAGGTAACTGTGCATGTCTTCTTCAGTTTGTGTGTATTAAAATTAATATTTCATGTGGTAAATTTTTTTTTTCATACTTTGGGGTGTCTTGCACGGATTAATTTGATTTCCATTATTTCTTATGGGGAAAATTCATTCGCCTAACGATAAATTCGCCTAACATTGAGCTCTCAGGAACGGATTAATAGCGTTATGCGAGGGTCCACTGTATCAGACACCACAACAATATCATCCATGTACGCTGCCGTGCCTTCAAGTCCTTTAATAGCCTGATGGATAAGTTTCTGGAATGAAGAGGGGGAGTTTTTCATTCCGAAGGGGGTAACTGTATATTGATAAAGACCTCCTGGAATTATGAAGGCAGAGATTTCCTTCGCCTTATCCGTTAAAGGTACCTGATGGTAACCTTTAAGGAGATCTAACTTGGACACAAAAGTAGCCTTACCCACAAAGTCGATTACGTCATCTAGACGAGGAAGAGGGTAACCATCTGTGATTGTGACCTCATTCACCTTACGGTAGTCTGTACACATACGAAACCCTCCATCAGCTTTTTTAACAAGGATGCACGGTGAAGCCCATGGACTAGACTCCTCCTCCACTAATCCATGGTCTAACAGAAATTCTACTTCCTGCTGAAGTAGCCTCTGCTTTTCAGGATTAGCTCTGTAGGGGGAGGAGTCTGATGTGCCATCTCTTCTTCTCGAAGTTTGTCGGTGATCAGTGAACGTAGTTGCGCAGCTGTGAGAGTGCGTTCGTAATCAATGCCAATGGAACGAGCAATTTGCCAACAATGCTGTAGGGACAATTTAGGTAGGTTAAACAAGGTATATGCCAACACCGGACGTCTGACTCGTCTAGGTGGCATACCACAATGTATAAGTTATTTGCTATGCACAGTATGATTGCAGAATACCCCAACATAACACGTTATTTGCAGAACACGCTTAGCTATGCACAGTATGATTGCCGAATATGCATACAAGGTGGATACGCAATAGCAAAGCTGACTATAAAATCTTCACACCAAACAGGCTAGTAGCGAGCTGTAAAACGATCACACAATAGCAAGGCTGACCATAACAAAGCAACTGACACGCAAAGTTTGTAAAGCGTTGGCAAAGCTAATGCAATGCCAGACAGCAAGCTACACACTGTTCCACAAGATTGACCGTAGCGAAGCGAGCACACTGAACAGGCTAGTAGCGAGCTGTAAAACGATCACACAATAGCAAGGCTGACCATAGCAAAGCAGCTGACATGCAAAGTTTGTAAAGCGTTGGCAAAGCTAATGCAATGCCAGACAACAAGCTACACAATGTTCCTGCTTCCAACTTCACCCTAGGCTCAACCCTTTCTCTAAGTCCAGCTCCAGCTCTCGGACAGGCTACCCACATTACAACCCAGGAGTCCAAATGGCCTGTTATCCTGGGTGTAAAGGGAGCAATATAAACACAGCACAGAACTTTTGACTTATATTATCCTTCACCAATTTAGAACAGAAGTATGTACACTATATACACTATGTACAGCGATAGGTATTAGTGCATTCCACGGTAAGCAAGGCAGAATAGAAGCCACTAGAGAGCAGACCGTGCTTCAACCAGCTCTAGAATGGGAATGACAAGGGCAGACAGGAGAGTGGTACCCACATAACCTCTGCAATTGCCAAAACCATCTTCTTATTGGATGGAACCTGGTTACTGGTTGAACGACGGGGCCCCATCATCAACCCTCAGTTACCTGGTTCACCGGTTGGGGAAAATAGCCTGTGAATGAGGGTGTGTACATGCGCCGAATAAAGGTTACGTACTCTTTGCATGCCACATTTCGTATGCTATTTATGGTTGTATTCTAGTTTTCCTGGTCTCATTTTATAGAATGGAAGACATGTTACAGAAATTGAGATGATTTTGATTGGTTTCACAATGAGCTCAATTTCAAGGTACTTTTCAAAATAGCAGAAATGTTTGATTTTTGCCAAAGTTCAAAAGTAAACAAATCATGCCACGCGTCCAATACACGTCAGCTGGTGAGTGTAATATTCTTTCACAAGTGCGCTGTTATTATTTATACCATTTCTAAACTGATGCACACTACTATTATGTAGTAGTCTGCATAATGGTAAATCTTCTATTTTTTGTGAGAATAAAAATTCAGAGTGGAAAGCAAAAGAAATGTAAGAGAGGCGTGGCGACACGACTAATGAACAGAAAAAATTTTATTTTAGTGCAGGGAATGTCTGTCTTGTTTATTCTGGACCCTGTTTGGAAATTGGCATCTTTTGAAATTGCGTGAAATTGGAAAAATTGCCAATTTCTGACCACTTTATTGGATAGTTGAAATCGGTAAATGGGTGGTTTCTTGTACTCATTTGATAGAAAAAATGGAGTTCTAGTGAAATAGTTATGATTTTTGTCGACTGGTATATTGGAATTGGCTGAAAATAGGGCTCAAAGTGGACAAAATCGCTGATGCATAAACATAGTCGAGATCGTTAACTTCACGAGAGCATAATTCCGTAAGTTTTCCATCAAATTTCACACTTTTGGTGCCATAATGATCGGGAAAAGATTCTCTATCATTTCATATGAATTTTTTTTTTTTTTTTCCGAAAAATTTCCGACCCTGAGAACAAGTTTAGGAGAGGGCCTGCCGACCCTGAAAGGGTTAAATTGAGGGTTTACTGCATGTGTATCAAGGGCCTATTTTCACTTGGAAACTGCTTGTTTTTCATATTTAATGAATAGTTCTTCTCTTTTTTTATTTCAGAAAATGACTCAGTATTTACCGCCAAATTTACTGGCGCTGTTTGCGCCAAGAGACCCCATCCCGTATCTTCCACCAGTTGACAAGTTGACATGGGAGAAGAGGACAGATGGCTACTCTGGTTTAGCTAATTTAATACAAAAATTTGAGGTGAGAAGCTTTCAAAGTATTTATAACCCATGAAAAATGATAATTTTTATTGGTTATTGATAAATGTTTAACAGTAAAGATGGGTCATCTCTGGCTAGTGATTGTAAATGTAGTTCATCTTTGATGTGGCACAATTTGTGTTGCATGTTCTGCTATAGTCAGATGTTGCCTTTTCTTGATAGTTAACAGAACCAGCCATATCCCACTGTGGCAGGGTGACCTTAAAAAGAAAAATTAAAGTTTCTGTTTTTAAATTTAGTAATGTATACAGAAGGGGTTACTAGCTCCTTGTTCCTGGCAATTTAGTCACCTCTTATGACACACACTTCCCCCATGGTTAAAAACTAATGTATATAAAAAAGTAATTTATTATTCTTTACTTTGATGTAAAAAAGGGAATGAAGCAAATTAAAAACTTATTGTTCATTATAGACTTGATACCAGATGCTCTAGCATTTTTTCTACTAGTGGAACAAAAATTTTAATTGTAGAAAAATTATGACCTGCTGAAGTCAGATAATGGTCTTTTGCTATTATCATGATGTTTGGCAGTACCATCAATTGCCTAGGTAAGTACATATGAAATGTATAGTATGCAAATTGTTTCACTTGCCAGGAGCTTTGTCAAGTGTTGGTGTACATTTAACATTAGTGAAGTGTAACCAGGAACTGTCTTGAGGCCCTGCAATGCAGGTGTCGCCTAATAATTATCTAAGAATCTGTAAATTCTATTAAATTTTTTTTGCTACTCTGCTCTTGCTCCTCATTTGACCACTATATATCTTCTCACTGCCCAGTTGTGTACACTAAGGATTGACAAAAATTCTGGCGAGTGAAATGTAGCCTGCAACAAAGCTTCCTAAATGTTGCACGTGTCCACATACCTAGGAGATAAAACAGCATAGTATAATAACTTAATTGTTTGTTAAGCTTTATATATTAATTTCTTAGCTACGTTAGTGATTTATTTTTAAAACTCCAGCTGTTTCCCAACAAAGTAGGGTAACCCTCCCCCCCCCCCTCAAAAAAAAAAAAGTGGAAAAGTGCATTCACTTCCATTCATTCAATTACTCTTTTACCAAAAGCATGTTGGCATCACAGTTCAGGTGGCTCTCTGAACTGCAGAATCCTCACCCCTCCAGAGTGCACACACTGTACTTATCACCTCCAGGATTCAAGTCTGCCCAACTGATTTCTTTTAATTCATTCATAAATTTTACCTTGCTCACTCTCCAACAGCATGAGAGGTCACAAACACCACAAAGAAAGAGACAATAAAACCATGAAAAACACCTAGAAAATGCCTCGGTCACAAAGGGAACGGCTAACTTCTGACATAAGGTCAGAAGTTAGCCATTTCCTTCATGCACAGTGTGGGGGCAGGATATTTATACTGCGCACAGCCATCCACTCATGTCTAGGCAAAAATTTGCTTCTCACTTCATATTTCAAGGCGCTATGGTTTACACACACATCTACATAAGCAGCTCTTTTCTGAATCACTTTAATCTTCGAAACTGACGATGAAAGGATTAATTTCCTTCTTTTACATGACCTCCCAAATTCCTCCAACTTTTGCAACATTTTTTACAATCCCCATACATAAACATGTAAAACAGTCATGGGGACATCACAAGTACCTGTCTAAGGCCTACTTTTATTGGAAAATGCTGTAATCACTATTGTATTGTTCAATTTCATTAATTTAGTCTTAATTATAAAAAGGCACAATACTGTGACTGACAGTATTGGATCAAAATGTCATCACAAGTTTCATTGTCTTTTGTGCAGGTTGTGTGTGTGTTTAGTCTATTATGTTAAAATGTTAATATAATATTTGTACAGTAATTTGATTTTTTCAAATCTCCATAGGCATTTTGAAATGTTCATACTACTTTTTTTTTTTTAATTAACACATTGGCCATTTCCCACCAAGGCAGGGTGGCCTGAAAAAGAAGAACTTTTATCATCATTCACTCCATCACTGTCTTGCCAGAGGCATCCTTACACTACAGTTATAAAACTGCAACATTAACACTCCTCCTTCAGAGTGCAGGCACTGTACTTCTCGCCTCCAGGACTCGAGTCCGACCTGCCGGTTTCCCTGAATCTCTTCGTAAGTGTTACACAAATAACCCACACATAGAAGAGAGGAGCTTACGACGACGTTTCGGTCCAACTTGATCATTTACAAAGTCACAATAACGAAAAGGAGAGCAGGATGGGTATGTACAGTGGACCCCCGCATAGTGATTTTAATCCGTGCAAGAGGGCTCATTGTTATGCGAAATGATCGGTATGCGAATGAATTTTCCCCATAAGAAATAATGGAAATCAAATTAATCCGTGCAAGACACCCAAAAGTATGAAAAAAAAAAAATTACCACATGAAATGTTAATTTTAATACACACAAACTGAAAAAGGCATGCACAATTACATGACACTTACTTTTATTGAAGATCTGGTGATGATTGATGGGATGGGAGGAGGGGAGAGAGTGTTAGTGTTTAGAAGGGGAATCCCCTTCCATTAAGACTTGAGGTGTCGAGTCCTTTTCTGGGGTTACTTCCCTTCTTCTTTTAATGCCACTAGGACCAGCTTCAGAGTCACTGGACTTCTTTCGCACAACATATCTGTCCATAGTGGCCTGTACCTCTCGTTCCTTTATGACTTCCCTAAAGTGTTTCACAACATTGTCAGTGTAATAGTCACCAGCACGGCTTGCAATAGCTGTGTGAGGGTGATTTTCATCCATGAAGGTTTGCACTTCAAGCCACTTTGCACAGATTTCCTTAATCTTTGTAGTAGGCAATTTCTTCAATTTCTCTCTCCCCTCCTTCGAACCAGTTTCCTCAGGTCTGGCCTCTTGCTGTTGAAGTTGATCTATCAGCTCATCAGTGGTTAGTTCTTTATTGTCCTCCTCCACCAACTCTTCCACATCATCCCCACTAACCTCCAACCCCAAGGACTTTCCCAATGCCATAATGGATTCCTCAACTGGCATAGGATTCTCAGGGTTAGCCTCAAGCCCTTCAAAATCCCTTTGGTCTACACATTCTGGCCACAGTTTCTTCCAAGCAGAGTTCAAGGTCTTCTTAGTCACTCCCTCCCAAGCCTTACCTATAAGGTTTACACAATTGAGGATATTAAAGTGCTCTCTCCAAAACTCTCTTAGAGTCAGTTGAGTTTCTGAGGTCACTACAAAGCACCTTTCAAACAGAGCTTTTGTGTACAGTTTTTTGAAGTTTGCAATAACCTGCTGGTCCATGGGCTGCAGGAGAGGAGTGGTATTAGGAGGCAAAAACTTGACCTTAATGAATTTCATGTCCCCATAAAGTCGCTCTGCCACGTCTGTAGGATGACCAGGGGCATTGTCTGACACCAGGAGGCACTTAAGTTCTAATTTCTTTTCAGTTAGGTAATCTTTCACATTGGGGGCAAATGCATGGTGTAACCAGTCATAGAAAAAGTCCCCAGTGACCCATGCCTTACTGTTTGCCCTCCACAGCACACACAAATTCTCCTTGAGGACATTCTTTTCCTGAACGGTCTGGGAGTTTCAGAGTGATACACTAATAAAGGCTTCACTTTGCAATCACCAGTAGCATTGGAACACATCAACAAAGTAAGCCTGTCTTTCATAGGCTTATGTCCTGGGAGTGCCTTTTCCTCCTGAGTAATGTAGGTCCTGCTTGGCATTTTCTTCCAAAACAGACCTGTTTCATCACAATTAAACACTTGTTCAGGTTTCAGTCCTTCACTTTCTATGTACTCCTTGAATTCCTGCACATATTTTTCAGCTGCTTGTGGTCCGAACTGGCAGCCTCACCATGCCTTATCACACTATGTATGCCACTACGCTTCTTAAATCTCTCAAACTAACCTTTGCTGGCCTTAAATTCACTCACATCACTAGTTGCAGGCATTTTTTTAATTAAATCCTGATGCAACTTCCTAGCCTTTTCGTTTATGATCGCTTGAGAGACGCTATCTCCTGCTAGCTGTTTTTCATTTATCCACACCAATAAGAGTCTCTCAACATCTTCCATCACTTGCGATCTGTTTCGAAAACACAGTTAAACCTTTGGCAAGAACAGCTTCCTTGATTGCCTTTCTGTTGCCCACAATAGTAGCGATGGTTGATTTGGGTTTCTTGTACAACCTGGCCAGGTCGGCGACACGCACTCCACTTTCATACTTATCAATGATCTCTTTCTTCATCTCTATAGTAATTCTCACCCTTATTGCTGTAGGGTTGGCACTAGAAGCTTTCTTGGGGCCCATGGTCACTTATTTTGCAGATAAAATCACCAAAAACACTGTAATAATACGAAATGTTCCGATTGTATGCTTGGATGTTACCGCGGAGGCTGGCTGGTAAACAATGCCACCGGCGGCACATGTGAGGCTGGCTAAGGCCACACATTGGACGCGTCTCGGACGAACAGCGGTGAGCGGGTTTTTGAGCGGTATGCGAGGCAAAATTTTTGCGATAAAAGCGAGCGGTATGCGGATTAAACGTTATGTGATGCCGACGGTATGCGGGGGTCCACTGTATAGGCACGAGGTGGTAATAATAGTAGTAGTGGAGGTGGAAGGAAGTAGTAGTGGGGAGGTAGTAAGAGTAGGAGGGGCCAGTCAGATACTAAGAAAGAGGAGCACTGCAAGGGAGCTAAGTGCCCACAGAGGGTAAGAGCAAGAACACCGAGGGAGGGGGAGGAATAAATAAATAGAGAAGGAACAGATACACAGAGCAGAAGAAAGACAACCCAGAGGAGAAAAAGGAAAGAGGAAAGGGGAAGAGGGAGAAGAAGAAAAAAGGAGGAATCAGGTTTGGTCATGAGTGTTCTGAAGTTTGGAGCATTTTACAATGTAGTGGGAGAGGAAGGCATCTACAGAGACGAAGCCGGAACTAAGATTCATACAAGGAAAGTTGTGTATTAGGTAGGATTCAACCAGATGGTGACTGTTACAGTTGGAAGTAGGGAAGACAGTTTTAGCAGAAGACCAGTCAATAGGATGGCTGTGATCTCTTGACGTGACAAAAAGAGCAGTGTTAGTGTCAGCAAGCTTCACACCCTTGTAAGAGCATTGGTATAACTGTACTCTCATACAATCCCCTCTTTGCTTCTGTGGACAAAGTTCTTGATATCTACAGACTTCTCAGTGCACCACTTACCTTTGTTCCTTTGTAATTACAACATTAATATTTTACAGACAGTTTTAGAATTAAGTTTCTTGTATGTTTAGTCTGTAGTTAAAATACCTCATTCTTTATTAAAAAAAAAATGTACTATGTAAAGTTTTTATGACATTGGTGGAAGAAAGTGGGACTTGCTGCTTCTGCTACTTCTTGTATGGTTGATGATATTGTATTCTTAGTGATGCTTTTGTGTCTTTGCTCTTTGTTTACAATGTATATACTTTGCATATACATAATTAAATTTTGACAGGACCCAAAGGACACCCCTCCTCCTACAAGGGTGGAAACTCGAGAAGAGCGACTGGAGCGGAAGCGAAGAGAGAAAGCAGAACAGATGCAATACAAATTAGAACAAGAAATTGCTTTGTGGGACCCTCACAATAATGAATCTGCGACTGGAGACCCGTATAAGACCCTCTTTGTTTCCCGGATCAATTATGATACATCGGAGTCTAAACTAAGAAGAGAATTTGAAATTTATGGCCCAATTAAAAAGGTTAGAATTATACAGTGATACATGTTATGAGATTTATTTTGGCATTCTGCCAAAATACATTTTGTATAAACTTTGTGCATCTAAGAACTAACATGATTCAGTACAGGTCCTCCATCACAAATCCGGCATCATTGGGACCTGTAGTGTGCCGGATTACTGAGTTTGCCGAATTACAGAGTGGTTAAGTTAGAATACACTTAATAAAATTAACCAACTTGACTTACACAGTTCATTGAACATCGGCAAAAATCGAACATTTCTGCTACTTTGAGCTCAATTTCAAGTTACTTTTCGTCATGAAAGCAATCAAAATCATGTCTATTTCTAATATATCTTCCATTATATCAAATGAGTGCAGAAAATGAGAATACAACCATAAAAACCATATGAAAATATACTGCAAAGAGGCAGCTAATGGCTGAGAAGTGAACTCCCTTATTTATCGTCCGTCATTTTTATTTTTGTTGTACGTTAAGAAGCATCTTTCCATCATACATTGCCAAGTTTCAATGAGATAGCCCAACAAACAACCGAGAAAAAAATATTTACCAAAAATCATATACGACAAGCCCAAGCCAGGTACTGGAAATAAGTCACTTCGTTTGACTTTTCTGGGTTATCCTAGGTTCTCTATACATACACTGCTATGTATGATAATCTGTGTAACTGTATTTGTGTATATCTGAATAAACTTATTTACTTCTAGTCTGTCAACTGAGTACAAGAAACTGCCCATTCACTTATTTCAACTACCCAATAAAGTGGTCAGAAATTGGCAATTTGGCCGATTTCACACAAATTTCAACAGATGCCAATTTCAAAATAGGATCCAGAATAAACAATGCAGACATTTTTGGCACTAAAATAACATTTTCTCTGTTCATTAGTCACGGCTACAGGCCCCTCTTATATTACTCTTGCTTACCATTTGGATTTTTTTTTTTCACAAAAAAAAAAAAAAATAGATTTACTGTTATGCAGACTGCTGCATTATTGTAATAATTGTATAAATAATGTCAATCCATTCTTGATTCCATACTGGAATTTAGACTGGCAGGCGGACAAGTATTGGACAGTGACGTCATTCGTTTACTCTTGAGCTTCGCTAAAGAATAAAACATTTTCGCTACTGTGAGCACAATTTCAAGGTACTTTTCGTCATGAAAGCAATCAAAATCATATCTATTTCTGTAATATATCTTTCATTCTATCAAATGAGACCGAAAAAATGAGATATAACCATAACAACCATTACAAAATATACCGCTAAGAGCGCCGTAATGGCTGAGAAAGTGAACTCCGCTATTTATGGCTGATTTCTTTCATTTTTGGTGTACGTGAAGAAGTATCTTTCCATCATACATTTCCCAAATTTGAATAAGATAACCCAACAAACAACTGAGAAAATAATAATAATAATAATATAATAATAATATCTTTATTTATTACACGTACATGTACAAGGTATACAGGCCTAGCTGACATCAGTAAGTAAGTAAGTTTATTCAGGTATACACAAATACAGTTACATAGAATTATCATACATAGCAGCATATGTGTAGAGAACCTGGGATAACCCAAAAAAGTCAGACACAGTGACTTATTTCCATTGGGGTCCTTTTACCTTATTATTATAATATAATGTTTTTAATATTTTCTTATTATTCTATAATGAAGATAACATCTTATTATCATACTAAAAAGACTATCTACTACACGAGGGTCATTAAGACTATCTACAATACGAGTGACATACTACTGTATAGAAAGGCACTTGTTATGCTGAGTATTTCAAGAAAATTAGGTCAGTGTCCCAGGGTAACACCCACACTAGTCGACTAACACCCAGGTACCCATTTACTGATGGGTAAACATAGACAACAGGTGTAAAGAAACATGCCTAATGTTTCTACCCTAGCTGGGAATCGAATATTTACCAAAAATCATATATAGCTAATCCAAGCCAGGTACTAAAAATAAGCCCTGTTGACTTTTTTGGGGTTATCCTAGGTTCTCTACACATATGCTGCTATGTATGATAATCTATAGAGAGAAAACAACTTTTGTTTCATGTTTATGGTGGAGTACGTGTATGTCATAGTTAGCCCTGTGCTATACTCCGTTTTCTCTAATATAAGCCACCAAGACAAGGATAGGAGAATGGTATTTGTTTACCATATCCTCTTCATACCTCTGTCGAACTGCTCGGTGTTATGCCAAATATTATTCATTCTGGAGTATTTAACATGTTTTATGTTATTTATATTGTTTCTTATGTCATATTAGATCAATTGTGATAGGCAAATAAGCTGTAGTGTTGATATTAGCGTAATAATAAAGCATATTCTCCTGCTTCATGAGACTGAGCTCATGGCAACCGACAGTGGCTTCAAAGCCACCTTTAATGGATAATGTACTGTGTAGGTGCTTTACATAATGAGAAGCATTTCTTTTATTCATTGGAACCATGGCTAGGGCTAAAAGTAAGCAGGTTAAAACAATAAATGGAGAAAAAGAAATTGGAATGACTTATGCAGCAAGTAGCGCCACCAAACAGTACCAGCAGGTTGATGTGGCGACCCTGGAAATTTGAAATTATGCTAGCCAAAATTAGAGTCGAATAACTGAAGGAACCGAATAACTGATTGCCGGATTTGTGATGTTGGACCTGTACGAGAGAGAGTGAGAGTGTGAGTGTGAGAGAGAGTGTGAGAGAGAGAATGTGAGAGAGAGTGAGAGAGTGTGAGAGAGAGAATGTGAGAGAGAGTGGAGATGTGGAGTGTGAGAGAGTGTGAGAGAGAGTGTGAGAGAGTTGTGATGAGAGAGTGTGAGAGAGAGTGTGAGAAGTGTGGAGAGAGAGAGTGTGAGAGAGTGTGAGAGAGTGGAAGAGAGTGTGAGAGAGAGAGGTGAGTGAGAGAGTGTGAGAGAGTGTGAGAGAGTGTGAGAGAGTGAGTGGTGAGAGAGAGAGTGTGAGTGAGAGGTGGAGTGAGAGTGTGAGTGAGAGGAGTGTGGAGAGTGAGGAGAGGTGAGTGAGAGAGAGAGTGTGAGTGAGAGGAGTGAGTGAGTTGAGTAGAGTGAGTGAGAGAGTGAAGGAGAGAGTGTGAGTGAGAGAGTGTGAGTGAGAGAGTGGTGAGGTGTGAGAGTGTGTGTGAGAGAGTGTGAGTAGAGAGGTGAGTGAGAGTTGAGGAGAGTGTGAGTGAGAGAGTGTGAGTGAGAGAGTGTGAGTGAGAGAGTGTGAGTGAGAGAGTGTGAGTGAGAGAGTGTGAGTGAGAGAGTGTGAGTGGAGAGAGTGTGAGTGAGAGAGTGTGAGTGAGAGAGTGTGAGTGAGAGAGAGTGTGAGGGAGAGAGGGGAGTGAGAGAGAGAGTGAGGAGAGAGAGTGAGTGAGAGAGAGTGTGAGTAGAGAGAGTGAGTGAGAGAGAGTGTGAGTGAGAGAGAGTGTGAGAGTGAGAGAGAGTGTGAGTAAAGAGTGTATGAGAGAGAGTGTGAGTGAGAGAGAGTGTGAGTGAGAAAGAGTGAGAGAGTGTGAGTGGAGAGAGAGTGTGATGAGAGAGAGTGTGAGTAGAGAGAGTGTGAGTGAGAAGATGTGAGTGAGAGAGAGTGTGAGTGAGAGAGTGTGAGTGAAGAGTGAGTGAGAGAGAGTGTGAGAGAGAGAGTGTGAGTGAGAGAGTGTGAGTGAAGAGAGTGTGAGGAGAAGAGTGTGAGTGAGAGAGATGTGAGTGAGAGAGAGTGAGTGAGTGAGAGAGTGTAGTGAAGGTGAGTGAGAGAGGTAGTGAGTGAGAGAGATGAGTGGAGAGTGTGAGTGATTTGTGAGTGAGTGTGAGTGGTGTGTGATGTGAGTGAGTGTGAGGGTGTGAGAGAGTTGTTGAGTGATGAGAGTGTGATGTGAGTGAGTGAGTGGGATTGAGTGAGAGAGTGTGAGTGTAGAGAGTGTGATGAGAGAGAGTGGAGGTGAGAGAGAGTGTGAGTGAGAGAGAGTGTGAGGAGAGTGAGTGGGTGTGAGTGGGGGAGTTTTGAGTGAGAGAGATTTGAGTGATGGAGAGTGAGAAGTGTGAGTGAGAGAGTGAGAGTGAGTAGAGTGGAGAGAGAGTGTGAGTGAGAGAGAGTGTGAGTGAGAAGAGTGAGATGAGAGGTGTAGTGTGATGTGAGAGAGAGTGTGAGTGAGAGAGAGTGTAGTGAGAGGAGTGTTGAGTGAGAGAGAGTGATGAGTGAGAAGTGAGTGAGAGAGTGATGAGAGATGAAGAGAGAGTAGGAAGATGTGAGATGTGAGTGAGAGAGTGTGAGTGAGAGAGAGTGTGAGTGAGAGAGAGTGTGAGTGAGAGAGAGTTGAGTGAAGGGTGAGAGAGAGTGTGAGTGAGAGAGAGTGTAGTGAGAGAGAGTGTGATGAGAGAGGAGTGAGGAGAGAGAGTGTGAGGAGAGAGAGTGTGAGTGAGAGAGAGTGAGTGGGGAGAGGTGAGTGAGAGAGAGGTGAGAGTGAGAGAGTGGAGTGAGAGTGAGATGAGCGAGTGTAGATGAGGAGAGAGAGTGAGTGAGAGAGAGTTGTGAGTGGAGAGAGTGGAGTAAAAGAGTGTGAGTGAGTGAGAGAGAGAGTTGAGTGAGAGAGATGCGAAGAGAGTGTGAGCGAGAGAGAGTGTGAGCGAGAGAGAGTGTGAGCGAGAGAGAGTGTGAGCGAGAGAGAGTGTGAGCGAGAGAGAGTGTGAGCGAGAGAGAGAGAGAGTGAGAGAGTGCGAGAGAGAGTGCGAGAGTGCGAGAGAGAGAGAGTGCGAGAGAGGAGAGAGTGCAGGAGAGAGAGAGTGCAGGAGAGAGAGAGTGCGAGAGAGAGAGTGCGAGAGAGAGAGTGCGAGAGAGAGTGCGAGAGAGAGAGAGTGCGAGAGTGTGTGTGTGTGTGCGTGTGTGTGTGCATGCGTGCATGCGTGCATGCGTGTGCGTGCGTGCGTGCGTGCGTGCGTGCCATCCATGGTTGCTGCTTTGGTGACTAATTTTGTTGGATTTTCTTTTTTGT